CCGTTGTCCTATGTGCCGAAAGTCGATTGGAGCTGTGTTTTCAAAATATGGGTATGCTATGTATGCACTCGATACTGTGATTTCATTTTTGAACATTCATGTTACTGTAAACAGTCTTGTTATGTTTACTACAAAATTTTGTTGTTTAGTGTCTGTGGCATTGATGGTTTGTATTATTGCTCTGACTGTATGCGTCCCGGTGGAGAGATGCCGATTCCATCACGTGTACTGCGGAGTTGGGATTGGAAACCACGTCCGGTATCCGATCGTGGACGAGCCTTCGTTGAGGCAAATCAGGTGAGAGTTGCCAAAGATAGGAGATCAGTATGTTGAAAGTGTATGACAGTGTTTCTTTAAGAAATGGATTTCTGTTCTGGGATAAAAGGCGGCTAAAGTGTTTAGGGGTGCTTAGGTATGATTTTTTCAGGATACACCTGCTATACGTATCGATCAGCACAATCCTACGCTTTATGATCACGTGCCCATCTTGAGAACAATGAAGGTGAAGTAGTTTCTAACAAGTAGTTTTTAGCAAGTTATCTCGTATACCTGTTTGTTTAATCAAAGTTTTGTATAAAATTTCATCTAATCATTTTTCGCTTGCAGATGCTGCGTGAACAGCTTCAGATCGCCTCGATGTACCTATTCAATTGCCGTGAATCCATAGCTGACGATTTTCGCAGACGAGTATGGCCGCGAGACCATCTTTACAACGATATTCACGCATATTCTATTAGTGTAAGTATTTCATGCATGAAAGCGAAATTCAAGTACTACATGATTTCTGTGGTTTTAGGATTTGTTTCTCCTGCATAATGGGCAACTGGAGAAGCAAGTGCGTGGTTTTCTCAAACATGCTGTAGATCATGTCATGCATTGTTCGCTGTGTCGACAGAAGGGTTTTATATGCGAAATTTGCGAAGCCCCCGAAGTAATCTATCCGTTTGAAACCGAGACAACCTATAGAGTAAGTTTTCTTATTATTATTATCGATCAAGAGGTTATTTTCCAGTAACATACTTTTGAATTAAAAAAGTACTTGCTATTCTTAGTAGAGCAATTTGAATAGGTCGCATTTGGCTTTATCATTGTTCAGTTTATTTTGAGTGATGATCATTGCGCTTAAGCAGAAGAAGCGAAATTCATTTGTTTTCTCATTGTAGTTGATTAAATTGATATTTTCTCGGAAAGTAAAAGAAAAGTTGCGTCATAATTGCGCTACACTTTTTCTAAGCTAATGTTTAAGTACATGACTTGATTTCTGGTCTCTATACTGAAAACAAAAAAATAGAATGCTGGTTTTCAATATAGAATCGCATGAAAACTTTATTAATGCGAATTGTTGTCGACGTGAGTTTTTTTAAACAAGGGATGGGTTTTGTATCTTTGCTTTAAATTCAAAAATCAGGAGAAAAGTGAAGGTCGTGAGCCTTCTGTAAATAGGGTAATTCAAAACTTCTTTCTGTTGTTGTTTCATATTTAAGAAGACACGTTGAAAACATGGAGCAATGTTTTTATTTTATGCCACTAAACATTCTTGTTAGTTAAGATGCAACAAATTTTGGCAGTAAATCTCATCTTTTGATAACAGAAATTTTCGGTTAGGTTTTTTGCTGCAATTTTTTGCGATAGATCTTTGTTTGGCCTAATTTATTGCTTACGACAGAACTGTCGTTACGTTGGCTTTTTGATAAGGCGGTTATCTTCTCCAGGAAAAAGAAGTAAAATTGTAACAGAAAATTTAATTTACATTGGGGTTGATCTCGCTCTCACA